CTGCCGCGCGAGCGGGATGGACAGAGAGCGAAAGAGAGAAAGAAAGAGAGAAGCGATGGGGGAAAAAGGAGAGAATTTTCTCTCTCTCTATATATATACACACTTATAGATATGTATAAAAAGAACGAAGGAGAGAAAAAAAGAGAAACAGAGAAATAGAGATAGACAGACAGACAGACAGACAGACAGACAGACAGACAGACAGACAGACCGACAGACAGACATACCGACAGACTGACTGACGGACAGACAATCAGACAGACAAACAGACAAACAGGCAGGCAGGCAGGCAGGCAGGCAGACAGGCAGGCAGGCAGACAGACAGACAGATTGAGAGACAAACATCTGGACAGACGGAGAGACAGACAAACAGACGGACGGACGGACGGACAGGCAGACAGACAGACAGAAAAACAGACGCTGCGTCACGCTTCGGGACGTCTCAAAGCCTTGGCCTCCACGTGGACCTCGCTCTGAAGTGGTTGATTTTGCCCCTCCTCTGGAGCCCTGCGTAGTACCCGGCCCTGGCCCGTAATTGCACGCAGGCTCTGTCCCCGGTTGGAACTTTGCTTTTCCCATGTGCAGTCTACGCTCGGGTAGGTTGCAGTATCAACTCTTAGCTACAAGCCCATTTGGGCTTAAAATGCAGCTACTAACGGACAGCCTCAGAGTCCACGAAACAGTTTAATTGCATGAAAAATCTGGAAAAATGGGTGATGTGAAATAAATCAAAATTAGGCCGCTGCAGTATGTCCTTACAGAAATAACAAACATATACAAGGCCCCGAATGTAGCGGCAGCGGCGGCGGCGACACGACGGCAAAGCAGAGACAACGGACAGAAACTGCAACGGCGCAGCTGTCAGGAGAAAGTGAGTTCCAGCCAGAGAGGTTGCGTGACATCGCATGGCGAATCGCACTGAAACAAAGGAAGCAGAAGGAGGAGGAGGAGGAGGAGAAGGAGGGGAAGGATATGGACGAGGAGGAGGAGAAAAAGGAGGAAGAAGTTGATAGAGGAGGGCGAGGAAGACCATGAGAAGTTGGACGAAGATAACCACGGCGACGAACACGTGGAGGGGTATGGAATGTAATGGGCTCTATCGCGGTGCGATACTAGGAGAGGGCGAACTACGAGGGCTTAGCTCGGTTCGAACCCTGATCTTGGGGCCATTGCCCTGCCTCGAAATTCGCGAGATACCTCCGACGAACAGGATTGAGAGGCTTCGAGCATGCCTCGGCCAAATTCGCTCGGAGCTGCTCGCTTCCGAAGAAACCACAAATGCTGCAAATCCAAACCTCGAGGGTGGCAGAATACACTAGCATGTGGGACGGATGTACCCACCCCCCTCCAATGTGGACCATCTTCCCCCTCGGCAACTGAAACTTATTCGAGCCTACACTGATGAGATCGAAGCACTCCGAATTCCTCCAAGCAGTGAGCGTGTCCCTAGACGCGCATCCCCCACACCTATCACAACGATTCCCTACGTCACAGAGTCGATGCTGAGACGAAAAGAGAGCCAAGGAGGAGGGAGAGGGAGGAGGCGGCGGCCTGGTCGTAGGTCGGGGCCTGGCGGGCGACGGTCTCGCAGCCATGGCCTCGAGGGTGGCACGCAGGAGCCTGCGACGGACAAGGTTGGCGTCAACCTCTGCTTTAGCAACTCGAAACCTGGTTTCAGCATCCACTCGACACTTTTTTGCAGCAAGGCCAGCGAACTCGTCGGCCATGAGGTTTCCGATGATCAGAAACTCTGGAAAGCGGGAACCCGAGAATTCTTCAGCTTCAATATGTGACGGCATCTGCACGACACAAACTTGCGACGGGTCGCGAAACTGCATCTCACGAGCAATGTCCTTCCAAACGTTGGCATTGGCCCCGCGCGGGGCCCTCCAGAATCCCTGATACCACCCATCAGAGACACCACTATTATCCGTGACGTACACGAGGGGCCCTCGAGAGTGCCTAAGCGCCAGGAGGAGCCCCCACAACTCACCCCGAGGGACCGATTGAGCAGCTCCAGGAAGAGGTCCGAAGATGGCTGAATCGACTGCGGGGTGATCGAAGTCACGAGCGACAACAGCTGACACTCCGACGCGCCGAAGCCGTCGGTCTCTGGAATCCGCGCCCCCACTGGCATCTCCGAAGACCAGCAGAGGCTTGTCGATCACACCGATGCCGAGCGCGTGCTCGCTGAACGGTGCACCTACAGAAGAGAAATGCTCCCACGCCTCGCCGGCGCTCGGAGCGGGTACCTGCGTCCAAGAACTCGGAATGAGACCACGAAACCAAAAACACGGTTCGGCATCTTGGCCCGCCAGGGCCCTGGGAAGAAGGTGGTCCGAGGACGAGTAGATTTTATGCCCACTGTTAGCTGGGCAAGTCCACCCCCGATGAAGAGGAGTTTCGGAGTCCTGGCCACACCTGGGACACGTGTCGTCGCTGATGGCACCCGTCTCGCTCTTCACCCTGGATAACGGCCAAGACCCACCGATAGCAATAACCAACATGGCCTCCGAGAGCTTGGCCCCATGAGGCACACCACTAAGAACCTTCAGGAGCTGCCTGAGGGAGCCGTTGTCAGCCCCACCTTGAAGCCCCTCACCACAGTAATGTTTGGAAGCCTTTACCCATAGCCTGGACCTAATGGACCCCTCGAACTCGGTGAGCAAACCGCTAATGTCCTCAGAGCTGGTGACGAGTTCATCGGGAAATGACCACGTACCCCCAGCGTCTTCATAGCTAGCTGGTGAATGCCACTTTGTTGGAGACTCTGGGTCCCACCCGAACTCAAGTAAGTAGGCAATGATGGACGAGATGGGCCCCCGTACATGCCGAGAAATCTGCTGAGGTGCAAGCTCACGGAGCTGGCGAACAAGCCCAGGCCAGGCAGCACGGACAGGAGCGCGAATACTGGGCTCGCTCAGCCAGGTTCTCAACCACAGCTGAAGCCCATCGCGCGGCAACTTGTATTCGGGATCGTGCCCGTCGGCACGCAAGTCAAGCAAAGTAGTGAGACAACGCCCACGCTTAGAAGAAGCAAGAGTAGCACCCCATCGTCGACGACATTGGACCCGAAACTCACCAAAAGCACCTGAAATCTGATGTCCATAAGCCCCTGCAGCCTGAGCACCCGCCCGCTCCAGAAGCCCCGTGGTACGATACTTCCGACTCGAGCGAGCGAACCTACGCATCTTATGGTTCATTGCCGTTGCCTTGATGACTCTCTGCCTCCTCGTTGCTCTAGCGAGCCTGCCTGCCCCCAAATCGACACCCAAATAGGTTGCTTGCAGTGCGTGCTGGAGATCAAAACCTCGGCGTCGAAGCCGACGGACCACCGCCTTGCTGTCAGCGGCGTGGGAACAAAGCACAACACTCTTGCTGGCGATCTGGAGTCCGTGCTCCTGCAGCGCGACGCACGTGTCCAGGATGCCCTGGTACAAACTCTCACGAACAGCTCTTCGCGAACCAGCCGTGTGCTGAGTCAAATCGTCGACCCAAATACGGTATGACATATTAACGTGCGTAGTGGTAAGTTTCATGAGAATATAATAAACCATACACCTCCCAAATCTGGTGCCGCTCCGAAGCCCCTGGATAATACTTTGCCACGGCTGGAACGCCTGAGAGAAAGAACCCAGCTGGGATAAGACGCGTGGGGCCATGCACATCTGGAGCTCCAGGGCGAGGACCGTGGGGGGAAACCCCATTCTAAGAGCAGACCTGGCCAGTGGAATCCACCCCATAGCATCGTAAAACCCCTTGATGTCCAACAGCCCCTCTCCGAATGCACAACCCAATCTGGCGAGCCCTTCGTCTTGAAGAGCACGTAAAAATACTTCACGGAGCGCCGAGTTGCCTGCGATCGCAGCGTCCCAGGCTGGCTCCGAATCCTTGGACCACAATCTAACTTCGTCCTCGCGGGCCAATGACCAGGTCCTGGAAAACATAGACATGATTCCTATGATTATGTCTCCCCCGTTTTTCTTCCCCAGGAGCCGACCGACAACCAACAAAACTTGCCAGGGCCAGGAAAGGCACTCCTCACAAGCACTGAAAACCGAAACCAACTCCTCCAGACCAGGGAGGGGAAGACGTTCCATATCTACTGGGCTGAGGTTGTCAACCCCGAGTCCTGCTTTGGCCTTCATGGAGTGCAAGGCGCGCTGGGCGCGCTCGACGGACAAGGGCTCCAGCTGCTCCACAGCCGCAGCCTCGCGAATATCCTGGAACATACCCATGATGTCGGAAATCGGGACTGGTTGGGAGCTCCAGAGATCGTGCCATCGCTTAGTTTTGTGGTCGACGATGTCCATGGGATGGAACAGGGTTTTGCCATTGAGCTGAATCTCGTCGGGAACTGGGGGAACCTTCTTGAGAGACTTGTGTAAAATTCCAGGAGCCTCCGAAGTAGTAATCCAGTTCCGAAACTCACGCAAAGAAGAATAACTAGCCCGACTCCTAGCGCGTCCTGCGACACGTCTGGCTGCCAGAGCAAGTCGCTCGACGGAGCCGTCGGAAATAGAAGCAATGCGATGTAACTTGTCCTGCCATGTGCTCCAGGCCGCCTGCCGAGAGCTGTCATCTGGATCTGGAATTCGCAAAAGAGGAACGTGCACCCCTGGAGGCTGGTCTCCCGCGAGCGCAGCGCAGGCCTGGACTAGCTGCGCCTGCTGTGCGACCCCGTTGCCTCGACTGCGATGCTTACTGAGAGAGGTGAGCACGGCGGAAAGACGCCCCCACCAACTAGCCACGACGTCGTGTAGAGGTTGATCCCGAGCTTTATCAGGAGCCTTCATTTCAACCACCCGAAAGAAAGGACCCTGACCCCTCGTAGTGCCTCCAGAGATACCAACGCCGTGATGTGTAGTGATGACCTGCTCCACCGTAGATGCCCAAGAAGAGTAGAAAGCTCCAAGCCGACTAGCATGCTGACCTCCTACGGCGTACGCGACTGAATCCCGAACGACTGGCCAGACCTCCTGCCCACCGTCCGAGTGCGT